AATTACTGAAGATCATCTTATCAAGACTAATCAGCAAATTAGTGTACAAAAGGATCAGATAGTATATCACAATATAATTAGTTATATTTCACTACCATTCTGACACAATAATCTTTAATATTTGAGTATTCAACTATTATCATATAAGTCTATGAAAAGTCTGTCCATGATATAACACAAGTACTAAATACTAGATAATAAGTATTTAAATTATGTCCATATATATTCAATGCTCATTTAAGACCTAATAAGCAAATTCATTGTCCCCTCCAAGTCCTGCACAAAAAGACTATCAAACTGACCTTAATGCAAGAGTCTAGTATCTAATTAATAATCCATAAGATTACTATTGTCTTTACAATATGAAAATGTATTTCACCATCACAGGCTATATTAACCTGTTATAACGATATCTAAATATTAAAGTTTATTAACAATATTCAAATATTGAAATTTACGATATCTAAAAAAAGGATCTTTTAGTCATTGACAACTTGTATAGTGAAATAACTTTGCATATCTCAGCACATATTTCTACTTATTCACTACACACAATAACAATTGTTTCACTTATCTAGGTGATGACAACAACCAGATGGTAAATCGCCAGAAGTCTAATAAATCTCAGGAGCATTATACAAGCCATGAGTGATCATGATTTCCAAGAGGTCCATATCCACAACGTATTTCACCGACTTAAGATAATATATGCATATATATCAAAACACCAGTATGCACATATTAATTATTTTCATAACTGTAAGTCTACTGCATTAGCGTTCATTATTTATGTCTTGGATTATTATTAATAGAATAATACAATACAATGATTATTTCTTGTAACACATCACAGTGCAAATGTAAAAGTGGAAGAAAGACACCATTATTTTACTACTATTTCACATCTTATTGATTATCATTAATTAATTAACTAAAAGTCTAATCAATTTAAGTCACATACTAATCAGATATGTATATTTCAGTAAGTCTTTAATTTAGATGTTAAAAGAAAGTCACAGCTTTTTAGCCAGTACACTTATACATTCAAAGTAGTCTTTGTATCCAAAATTAGTTCATTAAATATTTAATAATAGTAATAGAATAATACAATGATTATTCATTATATCACAACACAGTATAGATGTAAAATAGAAAAAGTCACAACCATCTTATTATTATTACACAGTTTATTGTTTATCGTTACCTAATTAACTAAAGTCTATATAATTTAAAGTTAAATACTAATTCAATTTGTTTATTTCAGCAAATTCTGAAGAGAACGTGTTATATTGCAACAACAACCTCCTACATATGAGTCTTATTTCACTTGGAATACAGAATTTCATTTATCCGAACAGAACAATGATCAAGCTAAGTTTTCCATCACACTCCACATATAATTTTAACCAGAATTAGTTATATATAACATATCTGATATCAATAATACTGAATTAATGAAATAACGAAACTAATTGTTCAGTGATATTAACAATAGAATAATATAATAATTATTCCCTGTAACACATCACAGTTCAAATACAGAAGTAGAAGAAAAAGTCACAGCCATTTTACTACTAATTCACAGTTTATTAATTATCATTAATTAACAAACTAGAAGTCTATTCAATTTTAAAGACAGATACTAATCCGATTTATATATTTCAGTAAATCCTGAAGAGAGCATGTTGTATTGCAATTACAACTTTCAATGTTTAGATTAAAGGAAAGTCACAGTTATTTTGGTCGAAACATTATTCAATCAGTGCAGTCTTATATCCGAAATCAGACCATTAAATACAATAATAATGATTATTTATTATAACACATCACAATGCAGATGCAAAATAGAAGAAAGTCACGACTGTATTATTATTATTTCACAACTTATTGTTTATCATTGACTAATTAATTAAAATCTATTCAATTTAAAGTCAGATACTAATTTAACTGGTCTATTTCAGTAAGTTTGATATACCTAGTATTGTTAATATTAAATCATGTCCACAAGAAGTTCATCATACAGCAAATAACTATTTAACACCATATTCCAAATTAGAATAATAATATTGTTTTATTCAACAGGGTCCCATTCAGAGTCTAAAGATGACATCAGAGCAATCATCATCAATTTTAATACATCCGACTTAACGAAATACATATACCGTATAAATATACACATATGTAAATCTTGGAGTACGTAAACTATTATGTATTTTAGCATAATATTCTAACTACAAGAGATTAATGTAGTGAAAAGAACTGAATTAACACTAAAATTCCTTCTCTTATTTCAGATGAAAAGCGACAATATCCTCCTCCAGAAGAGCAACAAATATGACAGAAGCACTAATAGGACTTATCATTAGAAAGTTTCTTATACGATTATCAATCCAGACTAATTGAAGTAATTAATGCATATCAATGTCTATTATCACATTAATAATAAAGTCACTAATTATCAGACCAATAACTAATTGTTAAACCAATATCTATTTAATTAACCTAGTATTCTTATAAGGTATTCATATTCCTTAATTTGTCCATAAATCTTATATCTTATTAATTAATAATTAATATGGTCACTCATAACTGTGTCACTGATATTATTCAGTTGTTATATAAATCAAATTTCCGCGGTTTATTATAATGACCAATGACAGATTGACAGCAAGTATAAGCCAAGCTGCTAACCCACTTGAGCACGCGCGCACTGCGCAAAGCATGTGCGCCACGATGATCGACTGCCACGTGTTAATTACTTCAATACGCTTAATTAAGTCAAAATGTCAAAAATTTAATATAGTTCACCTAAAAGTATTTATATAATTATAAATCTATACTATATTATATAATTATAAATCTATACATATTATATAATTATAAATCTATTGAACAGAAGGCATAGGAAGGCACTTATTATAACTTATCAAATATTTAAAAGTCAGAATTTAAATGAAATTTACTATAAGTTACAGCAAAAATAGTTCTTTATAATAATAAAAAATATAATCTTCTCAAAAATTATGTTTATAGCCAAAATAATTCTTTGCAAAAATTAATCATTATCAAAAATATTTTCTCAAAAATTATATTTATAAATTATATTTTATTTTTGTTAATAATACTAGAAAAAAATTAAAATATTAGCATCAAAAAGTAGTGAAATCAAAAAATTGCGCTAAATAATTATATTGATAATACGAGAAAAAAGGTTAAAATATTAGCATCAAAAAGTAGTCAAATCAAAAAGTTGCACTAAGTAAGTGACAACATAATATATAATATTTAGATAAATTTCCTATAATGATACAAATGTATAATTATTGCTTTATTTTAAAACGTTTATAATATATACAATAACAAAATAAATTCAGTAAAATATATATATATATATATATATATATATTCATCTTTACATTTAAATAACATGAATAATTATGTAATTAATTTAAACTGGAATGTATATACATTGTAAAGTTATTATATATTTTTATAAAATATTTAGATAAATAGATATATATAATAAAATAAATTATTTATCTCTAAATAATTATTTAATTCAAATATATTTAAACGTATATTCAAAAAAGGTAATATAAGGCACAAAGAATTAAATTTAGAAAATTAAAAAAATTTAAAGTTAAATAAAAATTTTTAATTTAAATTAAAAAATAAAAGTAAAAAAATGTAATGTACAAAAAATACTTAGCGCTGTTTTTGTATTATAGCCCTTTGACTACGAAACGTCCTTAAAAATGATGATTAGTAACGAAATGTGTATATACAGAATATATCACACACAGAAGTCGCATCCTATCTTTGGAGAGTGAAATGATGAAGTCAAAATAAGTCAAAATTAAAGAATCATGAAATTATATGTGAACCTTTTTTATAAAAAAATTCATAATGAAAATAATGCGCTTTAAACATCTATCTCGAAACTTTGATTGCGATCAGGAAAACATTGCAAATGCTTTAAAACATGTATCAGGATAAAGAAATTTTTATTCATTTATATTTTGATTGATCAATTAAACACTTTGAAATGCTCCATATACATTAATTAATATATGTATACATCAGGGTTGGGAAAGTTACTTTGTAAAAGTAACTAGTTACAGTTACAGTTATTTCATTGAAAAAATAACTAGTTACAGTTACAAGTTACCGATTTTAAAAAATAACTTGTTACAGTTACAGTTACTCTAAAAGTAACGAGTCGTTACTTTTCAGTTACTTTTTAAAAATAATTATACATTGTTTTAAATATAAGGAGCTTACATTTTATGCACACAATTACAGTCAAGTATTTAAAAAAATTCTTGAATGTAATATTGATCGATTTGCTTGCGACTTTGCAATTAACATCAATGTATGAATGATCTTTATATACAACAGTAAAAATAGTTATAGTAAGTTACTAAATGGTAATCGCAAAGTCGCAAGCAAATCGATCAATTATTACCTTAAGAATTTTTTTAAATATTTGACTGTGATTGGTCGATCTTAATTATGTGTTATATTATTTTATGTACACAAAATGAAAATTTTAGGTAAAAGATTAAATCATATAAAGATCCATATGCTACTGTTATCAAAATTTAATTTAATAATATAACGGCTACCATACTTAAACAATACTTTTAGCGCATGTTTCCAAAAAAAGTAACTAATAAAGTAACTATTAAAATAGTTACTAGTTACTAAAAAAATGTAACTAAGTTACAGTTACAGTTACAGATGGAGAAAAGTAACGAAGTTAAGTTACAGTTACCGAAAAAAAGTAACTGTAACTGTAACTTCGTTACAAGTAACTCGTTACTTCCCAACCCTGGTATACATATATTAATAACATATATATGTATATGTATACGTCTTTAGCATATATTAATGTATAGTAAATTCATTTTTATAATTTTCACTTAGCCCATTCACATTGCCCAATCGTTGAATCTGTTTAATATGACAATTATTGCATGTTACATTATATACATATATTTCATACATGTATATCAATATGTTCAGCTAGCCACATGTCATTCGAATATCGAGCCACGTAATATGTTTATAGATTTCTATTGAAGCGTATTGCAGTAAAAAAATTAGTCTATACTTTGATTTATATTTTATTTTATTTACTAATGTGTTAAAATAACAATACAAAAACAGCGCTAAGTATTTTTTGTACATTACATTTTTTTACTTTTATTTTTTAATTTAAATTAAAAATTTTTATTTAACTTTAAATTTTTTTAATTTCCTAAATTTAATTCTTTGTGCCTTATATTACCTTTTTTGAATATACGTTTAAATATATTTGAATTAAATAATTATTTAGAGATAAATAATTTATTTTATTATATATATCTATTTATCTAAATATTTTATAAAAATATATAATAACTTTACAATGTATATACATTCCAGTTTAAATTAATTACATAATTATTCATGTTATTTAAATGTAAAGATGATATATATATATATATATATATATATTTTACTGAATTTATTTTGTTATTGTATATATTATAAACGTTTTAAAATAAAGCAATAATTATACATTTGTATCATTATAGGAAATTTATCTAAATATTATATATTATGTTGTCACTTACTTAGTGCAACTTTTTGATTTGACTACTTTTTGATGCTAATATTTTAACCTTTTTTCTCGTATTATCAATATAATTATTTAGCGCAATTTTTTGATTTCACTACTTTTTGATGCTAATATTTTAATTTTTTTCTAGTATTATTAACAAAAATAAAATATAATTTATAAATATAATTTTTGAGAAAATATTTTTGATAATGATTAATTTTTGCAAAGAATTATTTTGGCTATAAACATAATTTTTGAGAAGATTATATTTTTTATTATTATAAAGAACTATTTTTTTGCTGGCGAAAGATATAACAGCGCTTTTTTTTACATCTGTGATGTCTTTTTTTGTGAGATTTCACATATTTTTGCAAAGATCATTAAACAAAATGCATTAAATAAATGTATATTTTTTTATATTTATAATATTAATGTAAATATATTAAAAGTTATATGAATAATAATAGTAGTATTAGTTGTAATAGTAATAGTAGTAATAGTAATAGTAGTAAAAGTAATAAATAATAATAATAATAATAATAATAATAATAATAATAATAATAGTAATAATAATAGTAATAATAATAATAATATAATATTTATAATAATAATGTCAATTCATATAGTAATTTTTTATTATTATATGGCGGCCACTGCGACCACCGCGGCCACCGCGACCACCGCGGCCACCGTGACTGCCGCGTCCGCGACCACGGCCATAAAAATGCCCTCCTCTTTGGCTATACCATCGAGCCCTCGCTCGCCCGGCTTCTCGTCTATATCTGAATAAATCTGAAATATAGTAGTAAAATTGTATATATTACATGTATACGTGTGTGTGTGTTTAGAAAAAAATTATAGACAACACGTACTTTCATTGTACAACTGCGGCTGCGACTGCGGCTGCGACTGCGGCTGCGACTGCGGCTGCGACTGCGGCTGCGATTGCGGCTGCGACTGCGACTGCGGCTGCGATTGCGGCTGCGACTGCGACTGCGGCTGTTGCTGCGGTTGCTGTTGCGATTGCTGCTGCGGTTGCTGTTGCGGTTGCTGCTGCGGTTGTTGTTGCGGTTGCTGTTGCTGCTGCGGTTGCTGTTGTTGTAGCTGCTGTGGAGCAATGCTATCGCCTGCATCTCTCGCCGCGCTTGTCGCTGCTCCTCCAGCATTTGCCGGAGAATGAGCAGCATCGGCTCTTCGTCCGTCTCCATTAGTAAATCATCTGATTTTTCTGAAAAAAATATGATAATTTTATATAAATAATTCTATTTAAAAAAGATGTACGGCAAGATAAAAAAGTGATTAATTATAATTATTATACAAAATTAATAATAAATTATACTTACGAGACATATTTATGCGTTGCTACCTTAATCGTAGTAAACAAAGTGAATTTGAATCAAAATGTAATGCCCGCTACCTTTTAAAAGTGAAATAGTACGACATACGTACGACTATGTCTAGTGTGAATCAAATTCAACAATTGGCTCACCTGTTCTAACCTACTTACTGTTTAAAAAATATACGACAAAATTTATGTTTTCGATTGGGGCTGTATGGCGGAGTGGATAAGTGCGGGACTAGTAACCATGAGAACCCAGGTTCAAAACCCCGTATTGTTAAAATTTTTTTTTCTAATTTTTTTATTATTTTATATGAGAGGTACATGTAATATTATTATCGCAAATATTCTGAATCATATTTTTTTAATACTTTTTTATTTAATTTCAGAATCTCAATGAAATGAAAATATTTATGTAAATGAAATATATTCACGTGTTCATTATATAAAACAAAACAAATTACATTAGAAGATAAATTGTACCATATGAAATAGAAGATTTATTATGCAGTATGTCCACATTATA